GGAGCCTCAGTTTCCTCATCTGTGAAATGGGAACAACAATGCCCCCTCCACACGGAGACAATACAGGTCGAAGCCCAGAACAGGGTCTCGCACATACAGTGACCTCCCTTCTGTCTCTTGTCCCCACCCACTGGGGCCTGTCTTTCTGTCCCCACCCCACTGTCTTTCTGTGGCCTCCGCAGCCTGGTCCCATCCTGTCCATCTCAACCGGCCCTTCTCTGCTGCAGACACAGACCCCTGCTCCCTCCTGCGCCGTGCCCGTGTGCAGGGATGTCCTCCCGCAGTGCCCTTTCCCGCTGGGACAGGGACAGACGGAGCTGGCCAGCCTGGACGGGCAGGGCTTCCCCCGTTCGGCTCAGGTGGGCCTCAGGAGGGCGTGAAGGGGAGAGGACCACATACCAGGACAGCAGGAAGAAGGCGAAGAAGGGAACGGACACGGTCAGCTGCAGCCAGCGCCACTGGGGGATGGCGTAGGCCAGGCCGGGCAGAATGAACTGGCCAGCGGTGTAGAAGTAGCCGATCCCAACCGTCATGACGGCCCGCAGCTGCGTGGACATCCACTCGACATCTGCAGGAGGAGCCCAAGGACCTGGTTAGGGTCCTTCTGGGCCCTGGGCACCAGCTCCTGCCCCCGTCTCTGACCCTAAGGGTTCCTTGACCCCATTTTACAGATGCTGCAACTGAGGCTCAAGAAGGTGGGGCTCCAGCTGAGGTCTGTCTGACTCCCAAGCCCATGCTCTTGACTGCCTCTCCAGTAGCAAGTGACTTCCCTGGTTTTGCCTCAATGTCCTCATCTGTATAATGGGGAGAATGGTATCACCTACATATGTGTGTGTGTGAAGAACCTTGAGGCTCGGAAGGGGCAGGGCTCATCCCAAGTGTCACAACAAAGGGCGCAGACTCTCAAACGCACCCCGGTGACCCCGCCGTTATTTCAGCTCTTGGCTCCGTCTCTGCTCCCATCCCAGGCTCCACCCTGAACCCTCTCACCAACCCTCTCACCCCAAGATTGCCCACCCCCTCTAGAAGCTTCTATTTCTCATTTCCAAATGGGGGTCCCATCCCAGCTCCATATCTTTTTTTGTAACCTTGGGGGGGATTGCTTCACTTCTTGGAGCCTCAGTTTCCTCATCTGTGAAATGGGAACAACAATGCCCCCTCCACACGGAGACAATACAGGTCGAAGCCCAGAACAGGGTCTCGCACATACAGTGACCTCCCTTCTGTCTCTTGTCCCCACCCACTGGGGCCTGTCTTTCTGTCCCCACCCCACTGTCTTTCTGTGGCCTCCGCAGCCTGGCCCCATCCTGTCCATCTCAACCGGCCCTTCTCTGCTGCAGACACAGACCCCTGCTCCCTCCTGCGCCGTGCCCGTGTGCAGGGACGTCCTCCCCCTGCAGTGCCCTTCCTGGCTGGGACAGGGACAGACGGAGTTGGCCAGCCTGGACGGGCAGGGCTTCCGGGGAGAGGATCACATACCAGGACAGCAGGAAGAAGGCGAAGAAGGGAACGGACACGGTCAGCTGCAGCCAGCGCCACTGGGGGATGGCGTAGGCCAGGCCGGGCAGAATGAACTGGCCAGCGGTGTAGAAGTAGCCGATCCCCACCGTCATGACGGCCCGCAGCTGCGTGGACATCCACTCGACATCTGCAGGAGGAGCCCAAGGACCTGGTTAGGGTCCTTCTGGGCCCTGGGCACCAGCTCCTGCCCCCGTCTCTGACCCTAAGGGTTCCTTGACCCCATTTTACAGATGCTGCAATGAGGCTCAAGAAGGTGGGGCTCCAGCTGAGATCTGTCTGACTCCTAAGCCCATGCTCTTGACTGCCTCTCCAGTAGCAAGTGACTTCCCTGGTTTTGCCTCAATGTCCTCATCTGTATAATGGGGAGAATGGTATCACCTACATATGTGTGTGTGTAGACGGAATGAGATCAGGTGCCTGGCGGAGAGCCAGGCCCAGGGAAAGGGCTCAGTATTGGCAGCCGCTGCATAGTGTTGTCCTGTTCAGAGGGGGCCCCCGAGGGCCTCTGCCAAGGCCATAGGGGGCCCGCGGTCGAGCCAGACCCAGACCCCCCTGGCTCAGCGCCAGGCAGGTGCCCCCCGGCCCCCTTCCCTGTGGCTCACTCAGGATCACGGTGCTCAGGGTGACCCCGGCCATGCTGAAGCCACACAGGAAGCGCAAGACCATGTAGATGGCAAAGGAGGGGCTGAAGGCTGCGCCCGAGCCGCTGGCCGCCAGCAGCAGGTAGCTGCCCGACAGGATGGGCTTCCGGCCAAACCTGCAGCTCAGAGGAGAGGGGGCCACGTGAGGCAGCCAAGGCGGGTGGCCGGGCCAGCCTGGAGCCAAGGCTGGTCTCCCACCCCCCAGGGTGCCAGGCCGGGCATGTAGCTCCCTCCCCAGACAGGGCCTGGCTTGTAATTGCTTCTTTATGACCACGTTTGCAAGGAGAGGTTTTAGTTAATGAGTGATCTCCTCCAACTCTGCTTAGCTGCCTGAGCAGGGCCAAAGGGTCAACCCATCTCCAAGCAGCCCATCCCCCCACCTCCACCGCCACACGGCCGCTGCCCTGGGCCCGCAGCCCTGGCGGCCTCCCCGCTGGGTCTGTGGAGGCTGGAAGACTCAGGTCACTAGGGCTTTGGGTCAGAGAGAAGACGGTAGCCCAGAGAAGGACTGGGGCTCCCCCAGGCTGCACAGCCAGGACCACCCCCCGCCTCCCCCAGCTCTTTGCCTCTTTGGGGGTCCATGGCTGGAGCAGGGGGGCAGGGTCGTCACCAGGGGCTGTGCTGCCCCTTGGGAGGCCCCGGGGTCTCACCTGTCAGACAGGCCTCCCAGCACGATGCCGCCGACCAGCGTGCCCGCCATGAACACAGACTGGGCCATCTCCTTCAGTTTGTTCGAGTCGCACACCAAGTCCCACTGCACAAGGGAGAGGAGCAGCCCGCTCAGCCCCGCTCGCCCGGGCGCTTGCTCCCTGGCGCCCCCCCCTGCCTGGCTTGAGCCAGGTCCCTGCCTCCCAGGCACCCTGTCCCCCTCCAGGCTCCCAGGTCTGCCTGTGGCTCTTCAGCCTGGAGCCTGGGGTTTTCTAAGGGCAACAACCCTCTAGCATGTGTGGCCCCTCATAGGCTGTCACACCCTGGTCTGCCCCCAGCCCCTCCGAGCTTGCCTGCGCCCCGTGACTCCCCAAGGCCAGCCCCTTTGAGTGCGCTCACCCTCTCTCCTCCGTGGGGACATCCCTCCATGGATGTGCCTCGCTCCATCCACATCCTCACTCTCTCACTCTGACCTGAGCCCTCCTCGTTGGCATTTGCCCAAATCTCTCGTCTTACAACCTCTTTCCCCCCAGGTCCCCCCATCCCCGCTTCCCTTGGCCAGGGACTTGCTCTCCCGCCCCACCTCCCGCTTCTTCCCCCTCCTGCCTCTGCCGCTGTGACCTGCGCGCTGCCTCTCCCAGCCGTGGCACCCCCTCTGCGAAGCTGTGCTCCCCCAAGCCACCCGCCGTCTTTCCGGCCAAATCAAGGGAACCACCTGACTTGTCAGTGTGGCCCTTGACCCCGCCGACCCCTCTCTCCACCGCACTGCCCCCGTGGGCTCCTCTCCCTCCGTCCGTACGTTTCCCCCGCCCTCTCCTTTTATCCACTTTGCCCAGAAAGTGCCACCGGCTCCTATGGCTTCAGTGACGATTTCATGGCGAAGTCTATCCACTGAGCCAAACCGGTTTCGGCCTGCCCGTCTCCTTTTATCCACTTTGCCCAGGAAGTGCCACCGGCTCCTATGGCTTCAGTGACGATTTCATGGCGAAGACTCCGAAGCCACCGCTTCAGCCCCACTTTTCTTCTGGCCTTGGGACCAGGAGGTTCAGCTGCCGCCTTGACCCCCCACCCCCCATGATGGCCGTCTGTCTCGCGGGCATCTCATCGTCTGTCCGTCCGCTTGTCACCCCTGCCTGGAGGCCTCCGTCTCAGCGCTGGCGACCCCTTTATTTCCTCCCTCACCCTCCCCACAACTACTCAGCCCTCCGGCTTCTAACTGTTTGGTGTTTCTTGAATCTGGATTCTTCTATGTCCATGACGGCTGTCGGAGAGCAGGTCTCTCCGTCTTGCCCTTGGAATAGAGCAGTGGTTCTCAACCTTCTGGATCAGTGGTTCTCAACCTTCTGGATCAGTGGTTCTCAACCTTCTGGATCAGTGGTTCTCAACCTTCTGGATCAGTGGTTCTCAACCTTCTGGATCAGTGGTTCTCAACCTTCTGGATCAGTGGTTCTCAACCTTCTGGATCAGTGGTTCTCAACCTAGGCGACTCCTGTGAAAGGGTCGTTCCACCGCCAAAGGGGTCGCGACCCACAGGTTGAGAACCACTGGATAGAGCAAGAGCCGATATGCATGGAGGGTTTGCCACGCTCCAGGCGCTTTTCAGGCCCTCACTCCTTCAGTCCGCACGACGACCTTCTGATGGTGCACTGTCACCCCAATTTGCAGATGAGGAAACTGAGGCCCAGAGCGGAACACGGCCACGTCCCCTCCTCCGGGCCCGTCTCCCAGCCTCGGATCTCAGCCCCTCCCAGCCATCCGTTCCCCAGTGATCCCGCTACAGCGCCTCTCACCAGCAAAAGAAACCATCAACAAAACAACAAGAAAGCCCACTGCATGGGAGAACATATTTGCCAATGTTATCTCCGATAAGGGTTTAATCTCCAACATTTACAGGAAACTCATACAACTTAACAAAAGGAAGATCAACAACCCAATCAAAAAATGGGCAATGGACCTAAATAGATTCTTTTCGAAAGAGGACATGCAGAAGGCCAAGAGACATATGAAAACATGTTCAAAGTCACTAATCATCCGAGAGATGCAAATCAAAACGACAATGCGATACCATCTCACACCTGTCAGAATGGCTATCATCAACAAATCGACAAACGACAAGTGCTGGAGAGGATGTGGAGAAAAAGGTACCCTCGTGCACTGCTGGTGGGAATGCAGACTGTGGAGAACAGTATGGAGTTTCCTCAAAAAACTAAAATTGGAACTCCCATTTGACCCAGTGATCCCACTTCTAGGAATATATCCCAAGAAACCAGAAACACCAATCAGAAAGGATATATGCACCCCTATGTTCATAGCAGCACAGTTTACAATAGCTAAGATTTGGAAACAGCGTAAGTGCCCATCAGCAGATGAATGGATTAGAAAACTGTGGCACATCTACACAATGGAATACTATGCTGCTGTAAAAAGGAAGGAACTCCTACCATTTGCAACAGCATGGATGGAACTGGAGAGCATTATGCTAAGCGAAATAAGCCAGTCAGAGAAAGATAAATATCACATGATCTCACTCATTTGTGGAATATAATGAACAACACAAACTGATGAACAAAAACAGATCCAGAGACAGAGAAGCATTGATCAGACCGTCAAACCTCAGAGGGAAGGTAGGGGAGGGTGGGGGTAAGGGGAAGAGATCAACCAAAGGACTTGTATGCATGCATATAGGCCTAACCAATGGACCCAGACACCAGGGGGTGAGGGCATGAGTGGGGGGGGGGGGAATGGGGCAATAAGGACACATATGTAATTCCTTAATCAATAAAGAAAAAACATTATTAAACAAATAAAATGCCTCTCACAGCAGGTTCCTGTCTCGCCTCAAGCGCTCACGGGCTTCCTCTTGTCCCTTTGGGTGAAGAGAAAGCTCTGTGAACACAGATTTATAAAGCCTCAGGCCCTGGACCCTGCCGACCTGCCTGGCCTAATCTCCCGCTAATCCCCAACATGCACCCTTTGTCCATTACTTGTGTAATGAAGTGGAGAGTCTGATTCACTAGAAATGCCTCGCAAGAATGTTCCGGAAGTGAAACAGAGCCGGGGAAGCACCACCCCTTCCTCTGCTGGAAGTCAGGAAAGAGGGGGCCACGGGGACAAGCCTGCAGGTCCTCCCCGGCCTCAGAGTGGCCCACTGGGCCAGCAGACCCACTGGGCGCTCTGCTCCCGTGGGAGAGGGAGCCTGCGTGCTGTGCGCATGGGGTGGGGAGGGACCAGGGTACAGGAGGGAGCGAGGGGGTGTGGGAAAAGCACACAGGAGCGTCTAGAGAGACTTCGGTACTTTGGCATGCTGTGCAAAGCGGGTTTTCTCCCTTCCTCTTGGTGGCGATGGTGACGACAGAGTGACTCGGGAAGCTGTGTGTTGAAAATGGTAGAGCTGCTGTCACGCTGGGTCCTGGAATGACCTCATGGAGTAGAGTCGCCCATTGGCCTGAAATGCTCATCCAAGAACTATTGCGTGAGAAAGAGAAACACTTCTACATATTTTAAGCTGTTGAGTGATTATTTAGTTACTAGTGGCCTGGTGCACAAAATTCGTGCACATTAAAAGGAAATTAATTAGAGGAAATACTTTAATATTGCTATTTGCCCTTTCTCTATAATAGAAGTGTTAGAGAGGAAAGAAAATTAGTAAAATGTATATGAAAATCTCCCTCCTGTCAGAGTCTGCGTGATGGCGTGACATCCATTTGCATATTAGCTCTTTATTCTATAGGATAGCAACCTAGCCGCTCCTGATATACCACACATGATGGAAATTTGCAAATGGAAATTTGATCTTCCTCCACCCCCCACCCCCCACCTCCATGCTATTTAGTGCTTTAAGAGATCAGTGTGTTTGGATCGCGAGAGGGTCAGTGTCAGACACGCTTGGGGTAGTTGAAGGCTGTCGCCTGCTCCACGGTCAGAGACCAGACCTGCAGGGTCTTGGTTTCGGCCGTGGCACTGGTGGTGATGGAGGCTTTAGAGTACCTGTTGCAAGCCAGTCTCTTCCATGAAATTGGAAAGTCCTGGTTGGACTCTGAGTCACATTCAAACATGCCACAGTCCTGCTGGGCCCTGCGGAGTCCGTTCCCATCGCCACCCTCATCGCCTCTCTGCTCTCACTTCTACCATCTCCCGTGTTCTCTGCTCCGGGTGCACTGGTTCCTCGCTGTCCCTTAACCGGGCACCCAGAGCCTTGGCCCATGGTATTCTCTGGGCCTAGAATGTTCTTCCCCCAGGGAGCCACTGGCCTGCTCCTTCACCTCCTTTAAATCTCTGCTCAAATGCTGCCTGCTCACTGCGCACGTCCTGCACCGCCATGTTTAAGACGGTAACTCACCCCCCGCAGTGGACACCCCTCCACCCCACTTTATTTTCTCTATAGCGAGGCATTCAGTCTGTTTGGTTCCCTGTGTTACTCCTATTGCCAAACACCCCGCAGTGAACACCCCTCCACCCCACTTTATTTTCCCTATAGCACTTATGCCATCAGACATATTGCATATTTTTCCATTTTTTGTTTGTTTGTTTCTCTCCCAAGAATGTTACCTTGATGAGGCGAGGCGTTCAGTCTGTTTGGTTCCCTGTGTTACTCCTATTGCCAGAACAGCGCCCAGCGCCCAACGCCCAATAGTCACTCAGTAAATACTCGTGGAATGGAATGACCATCCCCCAGAGCGAACAGGGGGTGGACAGCCTTAGCGATTTAGAGGCGGGCTGCTGTCTCCACGAGAGGTCAGAGGGCCCACACTCCAAATGCCAGCTGGAGGGCTGCCTCGCGCCACCTGAACGAGTGAGTGTATGCCAGGACGGGGAGTGTCCGGGCTGCGAATATCAAACCCACCCCCACAGGTTAGCAAGACGGACCGGAATCGCTTCGCAATCAGACTGGAAAATGTCTCCGGGAAATGGCCTACTGGGAATGGTGAATGAGGCCTGGAAGCTCAGGAGGAGGAGTACTTCGTGGTTAAACATTAAAAGGGTCTTGGCCTTCCTGGCACCCTGAGTTGCTTTTAGAGAAGATTTCACGGCCAACGCAGCCCCTCAGAGCCGACGAGAACCACGGGGCCATGGCCGCCCTGCAGATCAGCACCACCCCGTGGGGCT